TGGTGCTGGTGTTCAGACTCTCATTTTCCAGCCTGTACATCCAATTCCCGTCCCAGGTGCAGAATCCAGCGCTTAGTCTTCATTAAACTTCATATGGTTGGTGATTTCCCAGATCTTTAATTTGTCAAAGTCTCTGCTGAGCCTCTCTGCATTCAAGGTAGTCAGGAATTTCTCCTAATCTTCTAGTATTACCAGCAAATCTTCAAAACTTACTTAGAATACTTTTGACATCACGGGTATCTGTCAGATTCTCCTCAGCTGGCTAACATGGTATATTTTTAAGAATACTGTTTAGTGTTTGGGCTCTCATACTCCACCATTGGCTTTAAATTACAAATATATATAGATATCTTACTGTGATTTCTTTTCTAATGTCTTATTTTATCTTTTTTTTTTTTTTTTTTAAGAACTTTCTGCTTTAGCTTTGAGAATGTATTCCTCTAAAATTTATGCATATTTTCTTTATCTTTTTCCACTGGAAAATGGAAGTGTCTGAAAAGATATTTACATTGAGACCTGTCTCCAGCTCTTGGTTTCCTCAGGTGGTTTCCTGGAGTTTGGGATAGTGCAGGAAGGAATGTTCCTGTGTGAGCTTTGCCCTTCACTCTCCTCTTTAATTTGGTTCTGTTAAGCCAAAGGCAATAGCCTGGCTGCCACCTTCACTCTGCTCTTGCTGTAGGCTGTGGGCTGCCACATAGCTGGGGTTGTGTGCAGATTTTGCTCTTGTTTTGGTTTCAATAATGGTATTATTATGTCATTATGCACATATTATTTGGACTAGGATAATTACTTTATTCCCCCCTTTATTTTATTCTTCCCCCCAGCATCTGGCTGTATATTGTTTTTGCTGAGGATATTTTAAAAATTATTATTATCCTATAGGACACCTTGGGAACCCTATTTTTACTGCCTATCTATTAATTAACTCATACATTTTCATACATTATATGTATATACTTTTATATAATGTCTGTTCTAAAATACTGTTGAACATATTTAACTGGATGTCTGTGAGATTTTGTTTGTGTATATGTACTTATAAAGAAAACTTCCAGTAATTTCTGTTTCTTGTTAAGGAAAAAAGTTGTATGATTTACTCTCTAAATTTTACTCTGAGTTCAACCTTTCTATTACCCCTGAAAGGAACCAAATCTGACATACAACACCCAGTTTTTCTGGGAATGATCCATTTGTGGCACTGTCAAAAGACAGGCTGGGTAGAAGGATGGTTTGTACTGGAGAGGATATCAAGTGTCTGCCAAGAAAAATTAGTGAATGAGGGTTTGGATGGCCAGGAAGGATTCAGAGTGCTGATGAAGGAAGTGCTCATGACCAATCTATGTTTATTATGAGGCACTATAAGCCACTCAGACTCTCCTAGCATGTATTTCTCAAAGATTTTTTGCTAAGAGAGGAATAGCAAAGAAACAAAGTCCCTGCTATGAGATGGCTTTCTCCAAGGGCTGTTTGCTGGTTAGGACTGTAGCAAAGATGTCTTCTCTGCTGCTTTTAGAGAAGGGGTAAACCTCCAAGCCTTTAATTGAAGAAAATAGTTTTAGAGCTCTACTGGAAAAAAAATTTGAAGTTTGCGAATGAAATTTTGGTACCAGCCATTTGTACTAGTATTTGGTATATCCACTCAAATCTAAATCCCTTTCTCCTCATTTGAATTCCCTTTTCTACCTTTCTCAAAAAGTTGGCCAAAAGAAGGTTTCTGATAGAAGTCTACATCATTACTGGCAGGAGTACACAGCAAAACATTTTGTGATACAGAAGCCTTTAAACAGCAGCCAAGAAGCAAACTCTAGTAATTCATAGTACTTTCATAGCTAACTGCACAGTGAAACTATAGTGACTCTTTTAACACACTGATTTCTTTAATAAGGGCAACTATTCCTCTTAAATAGAACTATAAATCTTGGAAAAAACACAAAAAGAACCTCAGAGGCACATTCAACTCAGGAAATGGTGACCTTCTCTTCTGCGTAACTTTTTATATTAAAATGCAGAATATTTCTGTTTCCACTGATGATATAGGACCCTTATTGAATGGTAATATCATTCTAAGACAATGCATTACTATTCTCCATATGACAGGAACTCACTGATTTTCTGGATATTATTTTTGAAAAACAGATTGCTGATTGTTCTGCAAGCAGTGAAAAAACTTACTTCGCCCATCAGCCTATATATGCTAATGAGCTTCTACTAGGAGAGATTCAATAATGACTTCTGCAATCTTTCCCAAAGAAGCATTCGTAAGATCTCTCTCCAAAGATCTGTTTTCAAAACAGTTTTGGAAACTAAATAGCTTTATTTTCCTACTGCTCTGTCAAATTTGATCTGATTTTTAAAAAGTACTAAAAAGAGACAGACCTGACTGAAAGCACACATTAATCATATTTCCTTTGAGAACCTGGATTAAAAACAGCATTACTGGATAAGGTGTCAAGATGAACAACGAGGAATGGGACCACCATGCTTTGAGATGATTTATTGCTCAACTAAGACAGATAAGATGTCAGCCTGAAGGCATGAGATTTAGAGGAACAAGTCAGCCGTAGCTCAAGGTAGTCATGGGTTTCTTCTTCTCACAGCAATATATAACCTTTTGGTCCAATAGACAGTTGACATTAAACTTGTTTTCACTTATTAACCTATCACTTTTGCTTAATTTTGCTGCACTGCCTCTGTCTCCTAGCCACTAAGCTGACAGGTCACATACTCATACACACACCTCTATTACAGTTTCTAGATCTCTTACTTACTCTGTAAGTCAGATTATTACAGCTCAAACCTCAAACTATTTTACCTAATATAATTTCTTCCCCACTCTAGGCACATTCTTATAAATATAAGAACATAAGTTTATAATTTTTCTACCCAATGTCTGTGTACTTTCATCATTACTTTAACCCAAGCTCTTTCCAAGGCTGCAGACTGAGGCCCTCAGCATCTGTGGAAGTTTCTATTTTTCCATTTCCCACAATAAGGGCCTCTAATTTTCAGATTTTTAGTAAAACTTGGCTTAAGATAAAGTTGAAGACACTAGCTCTTCAGAGCAATGTTTATTCTAGAACTCCAGGTTTTTTTACATGCAAGATAATGTTGAAACTGAGAACTAGTTTCTGTGTCATCTGTTTTCTTTGAATTCTTGGAGGTGTTAGTTTGATAGAAATGCAGCATGTGATGTTATCCTCTAAAAAGTAATTTCACATGGTGCTAATAAGACACAGAAATACAAATTCTCTTTTACTGTTTCCCTGCCTTCCTTTTTACCCACATCCTATCCCACTCCTCCCTTGGTGATAAATGCACCAGTGAGAATCAGTGTGTATTAACATATAACAACAAAGAGACCTAAAAGAGAGTAAGAAAAAAGCTTTCAGGTTACCACTGTGTTGAGTCTTCTGTGACTGTGTGTCCAGGCAAGGCCACTATGGCTTTCTCTCAGCTTTGTTTTATGTTTCTCCATCTGCTGATCCAAACTCTCATTCATGTTTTTCCTTGTAACTTCCCAGAAAAATACATTCACTATTTTTTTCAATGGTAAAGGTCTACTTCTGCTATGAACTAGCTCTTGGCTTTCCCTGTGGGTTGTGGCTAAGCTATAAGTCTTCTTATAAAGTATTTACTTTTGAGTTCACTGCATTAATTCCATAGATAAATAATTGACAGAATATGTATTGCAAAATCTTTATAAAGAAAAAATAATGCCTTCCTTATGTGTAATAGATTTCAGACCACTATAGGTAAAGGAAGAGGAGTATATATTTTTCTATACTCAGAAAAATTTGCTCTAGAGACATTTGCTGAGCACTAAAGTTCTAGCAACAGCCTTTGCATGTATTTGAAAATCTGTTTAAAAAGCAAAAATATTAATTTTAGCCTTTATATATTGGTGATTTAACAAAAAAAATAATTTCCCTTGAGTTCCAGAAATAGCCCACATTTTTGTGGATTGTTTAAAATGGCATCTCATGGGGACTTTTTGGTGAGAATAACTGTACTGAAAAGAATAATAAAGGTCTAAGCTCAGTGCAAGAACTTCATAGAAATAGAAAATTCTCTATATATTTGCAGGCCCACATGTACCCCACAGAGCTTCCAGTTCTGGATATTTGTTCAGACACCTACCAATTGGATGTCAAGGCAAAATTTGGATAAGTGCTGTTGTCACCAGTGTAGATTGCCATTTCTGAGGAAAGGAAAGGTCCCTTAGCCTGGACCACTGGTAGATCAGGTTCCCCTGGGATGCGTGAAGTGCTGCAGCAGATAGTTTAGCCAAATAGATGTGTGCAGCCACATAGAGCACGTTTACACAGTCTCTAAATGAGTACAAAAGATACATTAGAATTGAATTCCATTTTATCAGTACTGATGATCCATGCCACGTAACAGTCAAGTGTTGTGTGAAATACATATGTAGTACCTGTATTTGTTGATGCAGAGATGGAGGAAAGACCTATGGATGTTCATTACTGTACAGTGACTGAGCTAAACCATGTTACTGAGAACATCCTTGAAATATCTGAATGTTTAGTAACCAAAAATGGGCTTCAGACTGATGTGCTTTTCCACTCAGTAATGAATCGTCTGTTTCCCAAAGAAAAATACATTATTTGTGTGTATGTATGTCAGAAGAAGAGGTGCACAGCACTGACGACAGAACTTAAATTTTCTGAACAAATAGTGACTATATTATATATGGATACATTAATTCTTTGGTATGCTTTTTCTGGTAATAAGTTTTAAGTCAATCAGTAAATAAGAGCTTGTATTTTAAAACACGATTTTGATGAGTCAAGTATTTTTACAGTGGACCAACCAAGAACCTAGAATTAAATTTTCTCCTTTTACCTCTTAAAGCCAAACCCTACCTGTGTGATTAGCTGCTTTTACCCTCCAGTCTCCCAAAACCTTCCATCTGAAACCTGTCCTTTTCTGTCTTCCCCTTTTTACTCTTTGTCTGCACTGTTTATCCGTCAACTGGCTGACAGTGTCTTTACATCCAAAATGCAAAGCAGACAGATGGCCGTCTCAGGAAAGAACATGACTAAGAGCACCAGCATCAGTGGGGAGATGTACACGCTGGAGAAGAACGATGGCAGCCAGTCGGACACGGCAGTGGGCACTGTTGGTGGTGGCAGCAAAAAGAGACGCTCCAGCATTGGTGCAAAGATGGTCGCCATCGTGGGGCTATCAAGAAAAAGCCGTAGCACGTCACAACTCAGCCAAACTGGTAGGAACTAGATTTTTTTTTTTTTCCCCCTTTCAAATTACCATTTAAATGTACATAATACTTACGTATTGCAGTTTAATCAGTCAAAGATCCTGTTGAAGTTGCCTCATCAACAATATTCTATGGGATGAAGAAAATGGTCAATTATCTCTTTTCTCTGAACATTTACTTTTTTTTTTAAGCAAAGATCCTTTTCAGGTTGGACCAAAGCTTTTATTTTCTGCTTTGTGGAACCTGCTTAATACCCTGATTCCTTACTTTTCAGCTTTTCAGGAACCAGCATAAGCTGTACTTCCATTTGGGGGAATTCCTTACAGAAGTTTGTGAAGGGTTGCTGAAATGTTGCAAGATGCCTTTTGTTTTGTCACAGATATTGTTTGGGTATTTCAACATGAGGTTTTTTTCACCTTTGAACATGCAACCTTATTTTGAAGGAAAACAATTTTCCTGAACAAAATTATTCTATATTACTTTAATGCAAATGTTTTATTGCTTTTTAATTACTTTTTTTTTCAGCCTACAAGCATATTTGCCATCTGTAGAAGTTTTCCTCTTTCCTGTATCTCTCAGTTCAAATTGGATGCTGAAATGCTACCTAGGAAAATGGAGAGTTTTTCTGCTTTGATGCTTAAAGTGTTTTAAATCTTACACATTTTATTCTATTTCTTCCTATTTTGGGGAAAATCCATATAATGCACTCTGAAAAGCTCAATGTCAAATAATGACACTGTATAGGACAAGCGTATTTTACACAGAAAAAAGTTACTTGCATTTGAATCACATTCATATAAAAGAAGAATTTAAGCAATTTATATAAGCATGCATATATATAATATATTTCAAGGTATATACAGAAGATATATTGTATTCTCAGTATTCAATATAAACTGTTGTGAAGTTTTTACATGGTTCAACGTAAGTTTACAGTGCCCTGCTGTGTGTGACCCATCTGAAGGTCTCCATTGTGCTAACCATCATTCAAACATGGATAAGACATTTCTCAGTTGTTTCCAAACAACTGAGAGTTGTTTATGGTGATAAACGACTTTGTGATAAGAGTTTTAACATATAACAAAATGGAGAAAAACAATGGTTTGCACTGTCAGAAACTGTGGTAAATTTTTAAGTAAACTTTTGGGGGATGTGAGTGCAATTTCAAGTACTGAAACTACAGAACTACAAAAAAGAAAGGAAGGAGAGGTAACAGAGCAGAAGAGGGTAGGGAGCTTGACTGTGTGGCTTACTGAAGGCAGTATGAACAGGAGGGAATGAAGAAGAGGGGAAAGAAGGTATATAGAGAAAGCTCTGAATATCATGCAGACACTGATGACTACCAGTAAGCAAGCCTTGTGTTTTACCAACTTGCTTGCAGGTAATGGAAACCTGCAAGTTTACATTACTGTGTACATTTCTATTTTCTTTGAAATAATTGACAGATAAAAGATGAAGTCACCTTTAGACAAATCTGGGAAGTGTCTGGTTAGGCAAGAATAAAAAGTAATCACTTGCTCACCTGGTAATCTAAATTTTTGTCTTGTGATAGTACAGAACCATGTAACTGTATAGATGCACTTGAATATCAAACCATATACAATGCACTACATAACTTTTTATAGTCTAATCTGGTCTCTCTTGCCATAAGAGCTACTAAATGAAGAATGTCAGCTCTTTGTACATTGCTCAAGTATGTCTCAGCACTAGAGAGAATCTGTACTTTGTGTCTGGTCTAGATCTGATTTAATTACCACATTGTCTTTGTTATTTGGTACTTTCAAGCTGAAGTTTTCCCTGTTACATCCAGTTGGTTTCCCAGTGACTGATTAGATACTCCAGTCAGGGACAAATGTGAAGTATAAGTGTCTCAAAGAGTACTCAAAAGTCTTTAGGCCCACTGACCATGAGTAGAGTGTTCTGACAAACTCTTGAGTGAGGAGCTGTAATTCAGTGCTGTTAGAAGAGCGGCAGGAGCCAGGGAGCCTGCGTGGCTGTGGCTGGCAGCCCGTCTCCCTTGGCTGCTCCCTGGGACAGGCCTGTACTCAGGGCTGGCCTCTTTAAAGAGCTGAGTCACACAAGCATTGCTGGTTGTGGTGAGCAGGCCTGTGCCCACATGCCAGGCCCTGGATGAGGTGTGTGCATGGTGCTGTGTCTCCAGTGGCACAACATGATGGCCTGTTGGGTTGGTGAGGGTGAGGTCACACCATGAAGTGTGACCATGATCACACATTGAACGTCTTCAGATCCTTCACAATGAGAATGGTGAGACACTGGAACGGGCTGGCCAAAGAAGCTGTGGATGCCTAATCCCTGGAAATGTTTAAGGCAAGGTTAGATGGGGCTCTGAGCAGCCCAAGTGGAGGGTGTCCCTGCCCCCTCTGCAGGAAGGTTGTAGCTAGACAGTGTTTAACATCCCTTCCAAACCATTCTGTTTACATCCATTGGTATATCCTACAGAAAATGCTGGACACCGGCATTGTACATTAGTACCAGAGGATTAAAACTTTCAGTTAGGGTGTTTAATGAATTCATAAATTTCTCTTGCTTGTTTCATCATGTTCCTTTCCTCAGATGGTAGGTGCCTACACAAGGAATCGCGTGTTGGTACAATCTGGAAACAAAACACTCAATTCCTATAGGTGTCCTATAAAGTACAATTTTCTGGAACAGAGAGGCAGGAGATGTTCAGGTGTCAGGGCACTGGTGTCATGTAGAAACTGGTTTAAGTATAAAAATTTCCTAGGTACTTTCTGAAGACATTATATAGTTCAATAGGCTGGCTAAATATCTCCTTACATATCAGGCTTGAAAAAGCATACCAATATCAGAAGATAACACTACTTCTGTAGAAAGTTGTGTGCTCATATGGAAATCTGTGTAGAAATGACTGTCTGTATCTCTGAAGCTTTTTTCAAGTGTTTTGTAAAGTATAATTTTACTTCAGTGGTTTTCTTCATTCATATTTTATAACTAAATCTATACCAGATGTTTTTCTGAAAGTAGGTCATAACTGTTTTCAGGACTGTGTATCAGACTTACAAGACATGCCTTATAAGGTCAATTTTAAATGTCTTTTCAAATTATAGTTATATTATTTCTTGTTACTTGTCACAATGCTAAGAAGTTGACACTCAAAATAGATACAGAACTGGATTTTTTATTCTGGTCTGTAGTCCTTTTGAGGTAGGAATAGTTGTTTTATGGGTAAAGAGCATGACAGAAAAGTAATTTTTTTTAAGGTAGCTTTTACTTAAGACTTCAGTAAATTACAAGATACTGAAGGGTAGAGTAGCAAGATAAATTAGAATTAATTTTATTTCTGGCTTCTGTGCCTTTCCAGTACTCCAGAAGTAGCTAAATGTATACTCCGTATTCTTGAGTCAAGCTATCAATTCTAGAAGCTAACATTTGATGGGTAAGAAGAAGTTCATGTTGTAATGTTTGGGTCCTATTTCCACAGGCGTTCTTCCTTGTGGAAAAGACAGCTTTCTTTACAGAGGAAAATAGAATGCAAAGTGCAATACTTAACAGACTTAGCTATTCATATCTGTAATGAAATTGTTTTCCTACTGGTCAGCCCTGAGGGAACTGGTGATCAGACTTCTATAGAGATGCATACCTATTATTGCAGTTATATTTCATTAATGAGTAAAATCTTTGCTGTCATCTTATTATGCAATTGTAGGCATCCCTTTCAATTTACATGCACTGTCTCTGGCAGGTAAATAACTCTGTGTCTTCACTTCCCTCATTTAGCTGGCATTTCTATTTTAGCAAGGTAAATATTTTGTCTTTTCTTCAGTTAGCCAAAACCTGTTGTGTTTGTAGGCTGATTATATCCAAGAGCCAAAGCAGTTTAAATCATATTATAAGAATCATGGATCATATATACCAACACATCACATATGTTCAGTCACCCATACAGGGTTCAGCGCGTTCTCAGAGACTGAGTCCCATCATGTCTTTGGGTATGCGATTACAGTAGATGCAATCTATTAAAATAGATGAAAAAAGGAAGTTACAGCATGACTTGAGAGTGAGCAGTGCAGTAATGCCTGCAGGGGGCTGTAACTATATTTGGATAGAAATCAGTGCCCTTGTGTGTCTCTGGAGAGCGCTGCTCCAAGGTGCCGTGCTCAGAGGACCCTGCACACGTAAACGTAGCGGGTGGTGCTGGGGGAACTGACACTGCCTGAACTGCACTTGCTTTATTGAAACATGTTGCTCCATGTCACCTAAGTCCTCTTGCTGGGATGCCATACATAGCATGAAGTTATAGGCCTGTTAAAGTGGAATTTTGAGACACAGTTATGAGATCTTTTGACATCCTTCATAATTATGCTGGCATTAAACTTTGCCATATATGACTGAAATTATAGTTCTCTGTAGGAAAAGTACAAACAGCAGTTGATTCTGTGCCAACAAAATGATGATTGATGTTGTGTGAATTTGATAGTTTTTTATCAAAATGAGGCATTTCCATTTTAAAAAATTCTGGAGAGGTCCAAAGTGAAAAGAGATTAAAGTATTTAGAAATTTTGATATTTCATGGCTACATCTTAGAAGAAATGTAAGAGAACTAGATCTCAGAGAAAAAATTTGAGTTAGATTTTATTTCATTTCTGTTTAAAACCAGATTTTGGATTCTGTATGGTTTGTAGGGTGCTGAAACTACAGTCTGAAATGCTGTAATTACAAGTAGAACAATCTCACTTATGTCTGTTAGGAACCAAAGATGTGGCTTGTAGAACAATTTCCTCAATTTATGGAATAATTGGGGAGAATCTATTGGTAACATTGGTCTTCATGCGGTATAGAATTTCACATTTCTCAATTCAAAATTTGATTTATATAAAAACAGTCTTGTACTACAGATAGAGTCAATGTGGTTCCTATTAAAAAGAGGGTGCTTAATCACTTGGAATTGTGGTAACTAAAGGAGAAACTACATTGATTGCCTTTCATCGTCTAAAGTGAGATAGTATATGGTAAGCATACAATTTACT